GTGTGTCTTAGACCCAGCGAGCGCCTGGTTTCCACCACCCCCACCGCCCTCAGCAGCCGGCCTGGCGTTCCAGCCCCTGCGCCTTCCTTCTCTGCCCGCAGAAGCTGCCTTTCACCATCCCAGAACTGGTGCACTCCTCTCCCTGCCGGAGCTCCGATGGGATTATTTACACGGGTATGAGCTGGGGAGGGGGGCTGGAGAGGGAGACCCCCCCCCGTTTGCCCACCCTCAGGGTCTGCAGATAGGCCAAGCAAGCACCTCCCGCCAGGGCCATGGGCCTCTGCGTGGGGGCAGAATGCGGCCCCCTCTCGCTTGAGCCCCTGCAAGAATCCAGAGGGGCCGAGTTCTCAGGTGGAAGGAGGTGTGGGCCGCCCCCCCGGCCCCTTCCACCTCGGGGTGCCTCCCAAGCCCTGAGGGGCTGGCAGAGGAGTGGGGCTGGCAGGGAGTTGACTTGTGCCTCCCAGTGCAAGGAGACGGAGAGGGGGACGAAAGGAGGTTCCCCCCAGCCCTCAGCCCCCCCCTGTCATCCCAGGGAAGCAGGAGCCAGAATGAAAGGCCCCCTCCCCTCATTCTCCCAGGGAAGAAGGAGGACACGTGGTTTGTCGTGGATCCAGCCTCTGGGGAGAAGCGGACGATGCTGTCCACCGAAGCCTGGGAGGGACTCTGCCCCACGACCCCGTTGCTCTACATTGGGCGCACCCGTACGTGCCTGCCCCCCTTTTTCTCTTCTGTGGGGCCAGGGTGGGCCCCCTTGGGCCGAGGGGAGGCCAGATGCAGGAAGGGCACCCCTGCCCTGCCCTGCCGTGCCCTGCCTCCATCCCGAGCATTGGGCATCGACTTACTGCCCCTCGGCCCCCCAGGGACGCAGGAGGGAGCGGCGGCAAGAGACCCAGGGCGGCAAGGGAAGCTGCCACCTGCTTTTGCCAAGCGCTGGCTGAGTTCCTCCGCCAAGCCCGAGACGCAAGCCCTGTTTCCATTAGCGGGGTTTCCAAGGTGGACTGCCTCAGGAGCAGGAGGCTCCACCGTGCTTTAGGAAATGACGGCCCTGGCTAGCCAGCCGCGCCTCTCCGAAGGGCTGTCTTGCCAAGGAGAGATGCAGCCTGTCGGTTCGGTGCTTGCTGAGGTGAGCCCCCACCCCCACCCCGGTGGGCTTCTGTGGTCCAGGTTAAAGAAGGCCTCCAGGGAGCCCCCTCCAGGACCAGCGGTGGGCTTGCCTGGCATCATTTCCCGGGCACCTTTGGGGCAGGAGGCCACAGGCTTCTCTTTTCCGTCTCCAGAGTACATCATCACCATGTACGACACCAAATCTCGGGAGCTGCACTGGAACGCCACCTACCTGGACTATTCGGCTCCCATCCAGGACCGGGACAGCGGCTACCGTGAGTAACTGGGAGGCGGCGAGGGCCAGCCTTCTTAGGGAGGAGAGAGTGGGAGGGAGATCGGAAAGCCGCTGACTCTTCCTCCTCATCCTCCCCCCCTCCGGTCACCCCGCCTGCACAGACCTAGCCCACCTGGCTTCCAGCGGAGATGGGCTCCTAGTGACGGTGAGCCAGGAAAGCGGAGAGGTGCTCTGGATGCAGGACTACGGGGCCCCCGTGGTCGGGGTGTACACGTGGCACCAGGACAGCTTGCGGCGGGCCCCTCACCTCAACATCGCGCCAGAGAGCCTGCGCTACCTCCTCCTGCGCTCCCAGGACATGCGCTTCCCCAGCTGGGACTCCCAGCCCTCCAAGGACTTCATGGTCAAGACTCAGCTGCTGTGGGTATTGCCTGGGGGGCAGCGGGGCACCCTGGGCATCTTCCAGGGGGCGAGGGGGTGTTGTGGCCCTGCCTGATCCAGGAGCCTGGTGTGCCCACTGGGAAAACCACCCCTGGCGTTCCTTGCTTCCAGGCCAACCCTCTATGTGGGCAAATACGCCGCAGGGTTCTATGCTGTGACTTCGCTGGTGCATGAGGGTGTGGCGCTCGTGGTGAGTACGCCCCCCCCCGTCTCCTCCTTAAGGTGCAAGGGTGGGATGAGAATCAGATTGGCTCTCAGGAGTTCACAGGTAGCCTCTGCCTTCTGCAGCCTCAGGGAGTCACTCTGGCCCGGACCAACGGCCCCACCACAGAGGACGTGACCCTCCGGACATCTGGCGAGTGTGAGATCACGCCCAGCACGGATGTACGGTACCCTCACGGCAGCATCATGCCCGCCCATAGCCAGTGGCTGCTGATTGGTGAGTCCCTGACCTTTTGGGGCCATTTTTTGTGGGAGGGGGGAGTTGGAGTGCCAGGAAATCTTCCCTCATCCTTCCAGAATCCCCTTTGTTGAGAAGAGCTTTCCTACCCTTTAAAAATGCACACCTGGCTGCAGAAGACCAGCACAGCTGGAAGTGACAAGCCAGTGCTCACCACCACCCTGGCCAGGCGGCACTCAGTTGCCCTGCTGGCCACTTGCCCTGAGGACCAGCGGATGAAGGCAGCCGCCCTCTTCCTGGCCAACTTGCTTAGGAAGATCCGGCTGAGCGAGGCGCACTCTCCTTGCTGCCATTTGGGCGAACGGTTCTTTCCTTCTTGGCTGGAGGAGGTCCCTCTGAACTGCTGAGCCGGGTCAAGGGTCAGCGCAGAGTGGCCAGAGCACAAGGACCTTATGGCCTAATGGTCAGGGGCACCGGGCGGAGCTGCCATCATCACAAGGGGAGAAGAGACGAGGGGTGTTCGGGGACCCGTGGCATGGCTCCAAAACCCGTGCTGAACTCAACGGGGGGGAGTCTTCTTTCCCTGCAGGGCACCACGAGCTGCCCCCCCTTGTCCACACGACGATGCTGAGAGCTTTTCCTGAGCCCCAGAGGAGGAGGAGTGCGGAGAGCCCCCTCCCCCACAACCCTCTTTTCGAGGAGGTAGGCGGTGGTGGGTCAGCATCGAGTCCTGGCTTGCAGGGGAGGGAAGGGGAGAGAATTGCCCATGTTTAACCCGAGAACTTGGGGTGGTTGTTGTTCTTGTTGTTTTTGACCCCTTAGGGGGTCAACCCTAGAAATGGCAAAGCCACAGAGGGAGGAGTCCCCCGATTCGCCTGATCTCCTCTGGGTCTGCCTGGGGCTTCAGCAAAATGTGAGGAGGATGTAAAGCCAGAGACGAAATGAGAACGCACCCTGTTCCGCCTGAATCCTTTGCCCTTGCCCCCAAAGAAACAATCACAAACAAGACAGCAGCTTGACTATTACTGCCCCCCTTTCTCTTTCTCTCTTTCCTGCCCCCCCACCTCGACCAGTGCCCGGCGGGGGAGGGGGGGAGAAAGGCACTGGTCTATAGGAAAGGGCATGCAGGCTTTGAGCTGCCCCCCCGACTTGCGCGGTGCCTCTTGTGTTTCAGCTCTTGTCCCGCGGCAAACTGGGGGGCCACCCGGAGGAGAGCCAGTACAGGGCGCCTCCCCGCTTGGTGACGGACACACTGCCGGTGGGGGAGGCTTACCAGGACCCAGGCGGCTGGGAGCTGCTGGCTGCTGGCCTCGCCACAGTCTTTTGGGGCGGAGGACTCCTTTTCTTGGTGCTCTGGGTGAGTGGATGCGCCTTCCCCCCCCCTCCCCGGCTGCTTCCCTTAACTCCCAGGTGGGAGACATTTTCCCTTCTCTGCCCTAGAGAGAGTTCCCGCTTCCCTGCTGTGCGTAACCTAGACCTCCTCTCTGCTCCCGATGTGGTTCCTTCTCAGCTCTGAGGACTAGAAACTTATTGCTTTTCAAGAATGCCTCCGATGTCCAATCCCAAACTTTTGCGAGTCGCGGCAGGATTGCAATGATAACCAGATGCACCGAAGGGACACTGCTAAAGACCTGGCGCCTCTTTTCTTGTATTCCTCCCCACCCCACCCCCCTAAAAATAAATGCAGCATCAGAACCGAAAGCAGCAGCAGTACCTGGCACAGCAGCTGGAGGAGAAACTGCAGCTCCTGCAGCAGGAAGGGACAGGAGGGGCTTCTCCTGGCCGGGGCACCAGAGAGCCTTCCAACGCCATTCCTAGGGAGCCACCCGGAGCCACACCGCTGGATCGGCGCCTGGGGCCTTCCTCTTATTCTAGATCACCCAAAGGGGAGCCTGGCCAGGCCCTTCCTATGCCAAGTGGTACAGACCAAGGTGGGTGGGAGCAGCCGCGTGGGTCAGAGTGGGGAGGGAGGGACGGGCACTCTGGCAGGTGGCAGCAGTGACCTGGCATGGCAAGCTGGGTGCAGGCACCACCTGGCTCTAGAGGTGTCAGGGCTCCCCCTTCTCCCCACCAGCCGCAAACACTGACCCAGAGACGACGACGGTGGTGGGGAAGATCTCTTTCAGCCCCAAAGACGTGCTGGGCCGTGGTGCGGGCGGCACCTTTGTCTTCAGGTGAGTAGCCCCCAGGGACTCCCTCCTCTGGGCGCTTCCTTAGGAGCCCCGCAAAGGCCCCCTCCCAAAGGCTTGGTGGGAGCTCTCCTGAATAACGTGTCCCAGACTGGGAGCGATCCTTGGATAAGGCAGAAAGATGAGGCACAAAAAAGAAGGGCCGAGCTTTGGAGATCACAGTTTCTCCTTGTCAACAAGAAGTTTAAAAAGAAATCAGGGAGCAGCGGGTGGGGAGGTTGAGCCCTAAATCCTTGCAGGCTGTGGATTGCTGCTGGGTTGTAACCAAGGAAGAAGGCTCTGCCAAAATCAAGCGGGGGCTCCTTGGGTGAGGTCGGGGTGTTTGCTCTCTCCCGGAGTAGCCCACCTGCTTGCTGGGAGCACAGGGAAGCGAGAGATGTTTGATCCATCTCCTCTAACACTGCAGCTCGATGCGTCTCCCCTTCCCGCACCTGCAGGGGTCACTTTGAGGGGCGTCAGGTGGCCGTGAAGCGCCTCCTGGCTGAGGGCGTCCACCTGGTGGATCGCGAGGTGCAGCTGCTGCGGGAGTCGGATGAACACCCTCACGTCCTGCGCTATTTCTGCACAGAAACCGACCGGCAGTTCCACTACATCGCCACGGAGCTGTGTTCTGGCACCCTCCAGGAGGTGAGCAGCTGTGGCTGGGGAAGCCCCGAGAAAGGCACAGGGCTTGATCCGCCGCGCTGCCTCCCTTCCTGCCTTCCACTGGGCAGAGGCGACAGGGAACAGGTCAGGAGAAGCCTGCGCCAACTCTCTGGCGGTCTAAATACACTGGGCGGGCCAAGCCATGCTCAGCCTTCTAGGTCCCATCCCTGGCCAGCTTGCCCGAATGGCAGGTCCTCCCGAGAGCCTGCCGTGGGCCAGCGTCCCTTCTGCGGGAGACCTTCAAACTCTCGATAGCTTGTCAGTTCCTCCTTTTAGAGAAACCGTATTGGGACACCTTGTATGTGTTGGCTTTATAAACATTTATTTTAAAGACTAATTTAAGACTATTTTCCAAAAAGACATTTTTATCGAAGAAGAAGAAGAAGAAGCCATACGTTTGTGTTTCTTGTGAGTTCCTTCTGCCTTGGATTCTGAGCAAAGGCACTGTTTCTTTCCCTCCCCCCCTGCCCCCCCGTCTCCCTCCAGTATGTCGAGGGATCTGCCTCAAGATGGAAAGGTCTGGATCCGCTCTCCCTCCTGCGTCAGACCATGTCGGGACTGGCTCACTTGCACTCCCTCAGCATAGGTAAGGATGAGTCCTCCGAAGGAGAAGCGGGGATGGGAACAGGCTCAAAGAGAGGGGTATGTCCCAGCTGCTGCACGAAGGCCATGCGGCCTGAGGGTCCACTTCTCTCTCTCTCTCTCTCTCTCTCTCTCTGGGTGTGTCTTCTAGTTCACCGTGATCTGAAACCCAGCAACATCTTGCTCTCAGCCCCCAACCACCGCGGGCAGGTCCGGGCGGTCATCTCCGACTTTGGCCTCTGCAAGAAGTTACAGAGTGGGCGCCAGAGTTTCAGCCTCCGTTCAGGCATTCCCGGCACGGAGGGGTGGATTGCGCCAGAGGTGCTGAGAGAGGACCCCAAGGAGAACCCTGTGAGTGGCCCTCCCTTACCTCTGCCCGCTTGGTGCAGTTGCGGCTGAGACATTCCAGATCTTCCCCACAGACCTCTCTGTCTCTCGCAGACATGCGCGGTGGACATCTTCTCGGCTGGCTGCGTCTTCTACTACGTGCTGTCTGGCGGGGAGCATCCCTTTGGAGACACTTTCCACCGCCAAGCCAATATCCTCGCAGGCTCCTACCGGCTGGACCGGCTGCAACAAGAGACACACGGTGAGGGTGAGGAGGACCCAAGGGAGAGCAGTCCCCCGCCCTGCGCTTTCTCTCCACTGGGATCCTGGCCGAGCCCCTGATGGGTGGGAGGGAGCCAGCACCCTTCCAGGACTGAACTTCTCTTCCAAGCTTCAACATTGGCCGGAAGCAAACTGTGATCTCTCTGCATCGCGATCCCAAAAGTAGGGACAGACGATGGCCATCCAGGCCTCTTTTGTCCCGGTGGTGGAGAGCAGGGCGGAGGGTCCCTGGAACTCATGACACTCAGCACCATGCCTCTTTTCGCTCCCCAGGGAACATCCTTGGGCGGGAGCTGATAGAAGCCATGATCCACAGGGACCCCCAGGGGCGCCCTTCAGCCACGCGTGTCCTCCTGCACCCCTTCTTCTGGAGCCACGAGAAGCAGCTCCAGTTCTTCCTGGTGAGTCCCCTGGGGAAAAAAGGGGGCTTTTCTGGGCAGCCACCCAACCGGCCGAGCAGGCGGCGAGTGCTCTGGGTCTTGTCCTGCCCGCCCTTCCCAAACCCCTCTGCCCTGCTCTCCTCCTTAGGATGTCAGCGACCGCATTGAAAAGGAGCCGGCGGACGGGCCCCTCGTGCGCGGGCTGGAAGCCGGCGGCTGCGCAGTCGTGAGGGGCGACTGGCGGGGATGTGTCTCCCTCCCACTGCAGACAGGTAAGGTTGAGAGGCTGGGTACCCCCACCTTCCTCGCCCCCCCAGCCCCCCATGTGGAGTCAGCCTCGTCCACCAGACCCACAGCGGCGGAAGCCTCTCCCAGGAGAGAAGGTCACTCCCGGGCTTTAACTCCACAGACCTCCGGAGGTTCAGGACCTACAAAGGCAGCTCCGTGCGGGACCTTCTGAGGGCCCTGAGGAATAAGGTATGGTGGCTGCCTGCTTGGCCGAGGCACCAGGTTGCTCCCAAGGGCCCCCTCCCCAGCCCTTGGGGGGGGCGCCCCACGCCAACCCTTCCCGGCTGGGTCCCACCTGGGCAGTCCTGCTGGCCGGCCGAGCATCCCTTCCAAAAATGGAAAGCCGAGTGGCCAAGCGGCCAGAACCTTTCTCCTGCCTTCGAGACCATTTATCTGAGAAGAAACCTGAGCTGGGGGAGGGGTGCGCGGAGAGAGAGGTATTGCCATCCATGTTACTCCCCACGTCACAGACAGCTGTGGGGCAGCTGGAGGAGCCATGGCCCATACATAGCGTTTGAGGGGTTCCCAGCATCGGTTGTTTGGCCCCTGTGGCCGCAGAATACGGGCCCGGAGAGGGGGCAGCCGCCCTGGTTTTGGAGGGCTCCGTCTCTGCCTCCATGGGCAGACCCCTAACCCTCTCCTCCCCACCCCACCCCCTGCAACCACTTCCTCCTCATGGCAAGTGGTTCTGTGCCGGGGAGGGGGGGCAACCTCCATCTATTGGGGATGATGGCCAGAGAGGACGGCTTCTGACTTGGCGGGGAGAGGGGGGGTCTGCGCCCCCTCTTCTGTGCCCTAAAGGAAATGTCACCAAGCCTCTTGCGCTCTCCAGAAACATCACTACCACGAGCTGCCCAGCAGCGTCCAGGAGAGCCTCGGCGCCCTTCCGCGGGAGTTTGTCCAGTATTTCACCCGGCGCTTCCCTCGCCTGCTGCTGCACACCCACCAGGCCCTGCGCCCGTGGGCTGCTGAGAGACCCTTGCAGGCTTATTACTGCTCGGAGCCATGAGAAGACCCGGACCAGATCCAAGCCAGTCTGCCTGTCGCCCAGGCTGGACGTGGGAGAGGGGCCGGAGAAGGACAGGCGCAGGGGCTGCCCCTCCACCCAAGGTGGGCTCCCTCCCTCCTGGCCTCTGTGCGAGGGCACCTTCTCCCGTGGCCAGCCTTTTCCCTCAGGCCAGTGGGATCCCTCCCCCACTTGGCCCACACACCAGGTCCCTGGCAGGCCAGCAGCCTTGACAGGGGGTGGGTGGGAGGTTTGCTTTCAACAGCCAGGGAGCCCTGCTCCACCCACAACCACCTTTTTCCCCCAAAGGGAGGACAATTTATGAGCAAAAGTGCAGCTGATCCTCCTGGCTCAAGATCTACTAGAGGGCCTTTTTTGTTTTGTTCCCCCAAAGGGAGGACAATTTATGAGCAGAAGTCCAGCTGATCCTCCTGGCTCAAGATCTACCAGGGGGGCTTTTTTGTTTTTTTTTTAAATGAGAGCCTTGTAAGTAAAAGATTTTTGTAAAAAAAGAATGGAAGCATGGCGTTTGTGTGAAAAGGGAAAGCAAGACATTGTCGCGCCACGTTGCCTTCTCCCTCCCCCCCACACCCACCATGTACACATCTGCGCGCACACAGGGCAGTCACTCGGGTTGCATCTGCAGAAGCGCTTCCCGACATTGCCTCTTCCCGAGATCGGGACTCTCCACGGTCTGGCTACCTGCACAAGAGACGCTGCCACAGGGAAGCTGAGCCACAGCAGCAGAGGCAGAGCGAGGGGTGCAGAAAGGCAGACCAGCAGAGTCGTCGTTGGCTCAGGGGAGGAAAGGCCTGGCTGGGCTCACACCCTCCTTCAGCCACAAAGCTTTCCCAGTCATACCAGAAGGGAGGCGCTTTGGCTTTCCCTTCCTTTTTCCTCGCTTCATCCTCTCCCTGCACAATTTCATCACTCAGGTGTATGTGTGTGGAATCACACCCTTGCAGCAATGCAGCTGGGGAGGCCCTTACCTTCTACAGCTGCCAGGGTACCCTTCCTTGACATGGGTGACCAGAATGTGTGCGGGAGTCTCGTGTTGCCCAGAGGCCATGATGGATGAATGCCTGCAGCTGCCGAGAGTAGTTTGGAGAGAGGGATGCTCGCCTGCCCCCCTTTAGAGTTTCCAGGATGCAACCAGGGAGAGCATCCACAACGGGGACTCACCAAGAGACCCTTCCCACTAGGGTTTAGAGGCCTGCCCTTTGACTCGGTTGGACAGACACACACACACACACACCCCTACATCCTGGGAGGGAAGAACAGAAGCTGGGGAGAGGACCTCTATGTGCTTGAAGTTTCCAGAGAATCCTCTTTATTCACCAAGAAAGTAACGTACAAAAAAGTTTAATTTGATGCAGATTAGTTTCAACATTAAAAATGTGGTTGCTCTGACTCGAGGAACAAACAGGTGAGCACCAGAGCAGTCTTGGAAACCGGAGGAAGAAAGGGAGGAGCGCGCCCCCCCCCCGAAGAGAGAGCCGGGCGGCAGCTGCTGCCACAGACTCTGCTGCCAGGCCCTCTTGAAGCTACTCTGTGGCTGGGGGCCCAGGACCCCTGGATGTGGGGATCGGAGGGGGGGAAGAGAGAGGGGTGGGGTGGGAAGAAGGAAGGGCCCTTTGTTTCCACCACAA